GTGAATATAATTTTTAAGTACACTTCATTTAATTGATTCATAAGATATTGTGTTATTTTCATGAGTTATTTCTATAATCTCCACAATAGCGTACACGTGGGGTAAAAAGGACCACCTAAACCTTTCTACTAGAAAGGTGAAACCAATAAGGAACTACTAAATTAAAATATAAAATAAGTTAAATAAAGCAATTTTGAAAACGATAAATTAAATTAATGATTATTCCTGCCCTGATAATGAATTCTTATGATAAAGTTCCATACCAAGGTAGTATTCTTTTATAAAAAATTGGCCCATAAAATATGTATTTTAAACAGAAGTTGTCTTTATCTCATTTGTAATAATTGTATTTCAAGAAACAATCTGATTGTCTGATCTCAACAGTCTGATTATGATAAATTTAACAGAAATTCTTACCAAAATAAGATTTATGATAGTAGTAAGAGACTCTTACTCAGCCAGAGGGAAAAATAATCCACAATTTTATTTTTAATCTATTATAGGTTTTATGGAATTAGTTAAATTAATTAATCAATGTGATGCAGATCAATTAAAAACAACAAGGTGTTAAAATTAAAAGTCATAATATAACTCTTAATAATTTGATAAAAACTTTTGTTGAATATGTGTTGAATTAGATATTTAGATTATGATTTTTAATTTTTAATTGAACTGCATTACATTGATTAATTAATGTACTTATTTCCATAAAGTCTATTATAAATTAAAAATAAAATGGTGGATTCTTTTTACCCCTGGCTGTGGAGTATAAAGGATCAATTGACATGTTTTTATGAAAATAGCAAAAAAACATAGTTGCACAGGAACGAAATTTTGATTATTTTTTTCTTAGTCACATTTGTGGGGGAAGGGTGTTAAAAATATTTAGCTGATTTGAAATATAAATATATGTTATGTTGAAAATCACAATATATTACAAAATTTTGCCTTGAAATAGATCATTTGGTAAATTTAAAAATCGCGCTTATAATAAAACTCAATGATGCATAAAACATCGCATGAATACACACGAATGCAACATATAATAAAATAATAATCTTATTCAAATTTAACTTTGGAAAATAATTTAATATTTCATCGAGATCATTGTTTTCGAACCGTTTTAAGTCGTGATTCTTATTGTTTAATGATACTCTCGATATTTTTATCATCCGCCAATATTATTTATTATCGTTCATAGATTATTGCAACAATGGCAGTGATTGTAACCTCCTTATAAATATAATAAGAAAATATTGCAGAACTCTCTGTATCGTCTACTAAACAATGTATATATATATATATATATATATATATATATATATATATATACTCGTCTAAGATAGCGGTACCCAGTTGTAAGATAATGGGCGAAAAAACGCTTTTTCATAAAAGGATTGAAGATACTATCAGCTAATGCAGAAATAAGGTCGAAAGTTCTCGTACATCAACAGGTGATGAATTGTTACAAATACTATATTTAATTAAATGGTAACAGATTGAAAATACATAGAGCACAGAATGAACAAGCTACTGTGACGATTCTTTAGTTCTAAATGTGCCAAAAAGCAAAAACAGTCAGAATCATGATCCAGGCCAAAACTTTGTAGCAATTAGATATTTTCCAACTAATAACTTTCGTAACTTCGTTGTCGCCAATTTGGAAAAGTTTTTGCATTACCTGTAGATCTTTTATTTGAGAAATTTTTAGGTAAGGAAATAAATATTAAATTTAAACATTTCAGGTTTTATTGTTTTATTGTTATATATTTCAACATGTTTCTGAAAATTTTTCATTAGAATATATAACATAATATGCCGGGAAAAAGCATTTTGCCGAGGCGCCACGAACGTGCATGTGTCGTTTGGCGGAAAAAATACAGGTCACAATTTCCATCCGAAACAAAAAAAAAACAAAACAAAATTTTCAATAGTATAGGTTCTAGTTTAACCTAAAAAATCATGAAAAGAGTAAGAAATTCACCAATTTTTTGCATCTTCAAACAAATGTTTTTACTATAAAAAGTGGGTTAATTATAACCTTTCTAAGGTTTGCTCGATGCTTGCTCACTATTTATTTTATAACTTCGAAAATAATTTGAATTTGTTTTTGAAATTTTTGGGATATATTCTTGGCTTGGAAAACATTTTGAAGAAAAAAAAAATTCAAGCCTTTAAAGTAGGCTCTCCCCTTAATAAACTTGAAACACCGTGCTTTAAACAAAAGATCATTTATTCGCAATAATAGAAAATTGCCAAATACAACAATTTCTTTTTATTTTAACAATGTTCAAAATTATGTGTTTCATGAATTATTTCTGTTGAACATCCAATCATAATATTTTCACAAAAAAGCAATACAGGGGTTAATTGCTCTCATTTTATGTGTAGTTTATATTAGATATATGTATGTCAAAGCTTTATGTATGTTGCAGCAATACCCACAAAAAATACATTTTACTTCAGATTATATGCATTTGAAATTTATAACCTCAACTGAAAATATAACGTTTGAATCAATCCGGAATTGGTGGTTGGCGCTAATCCACATTTTAACTACTTCAGATTTATAGATTTTTATTTTTTATTCGATTTTTGTAACATAAAATTATTAAGTTTTTTACCATTTTACTATTTCGACTGAATGCGCCAACTCATGTTAAAATTTGCCAACACACTTTGGTACTCTCAAAATCGACAGATTTAAAAAAAAATCTTAGTTTAACAAATAGTCCTAATTCTTGAAAACTTGGATCAATTTTGTCATTATTTTGTACTGTGATCTTAAAAAGGTTATTCACGATTACGGTTCCAAAGTTTAAATGAACAAATAAAATAAAATAATAAAAATAAAAAATAAATCACAATAACCGAAAAATGGTCACAATTTCACAAAAGGTCTAGTTTGCACTTGAGTGCTCATAATTTCCAAACAACGTGAGTTTTTTTTATAACTCTTGATATGATCCATACTATCAACCCGTTTCGGCTTGACGTTGAGGTCTTGAACACCCTGTATATATATATAACAATGTGTGTGTGTGTGAAGTTGGCTATGTGTTTTACTAAAATTACCATTAACGACTTTCTGTGAATTATTCTTAAAAACAAAACTTTCGATTTCAACTCGGCAATCGCTCGTTATGATCACGAATTAATTTCACATAACTCTTTGTCTTTCATAGTTATATTTTTGCAATTATCAACAAGTGATAATATTACAATGCCTTCAGAATATCACTCTGAAAATATCTAAAATATTCTCAAGGACATTATATTTTCTATAACAATATCTATAGAATTGAGATTTGCGAAAAGAATTGTTACTTGCGCAAAGAAATTGTGGGAAATTCATTACTTACTTCTATTCTGTCTTTTACCATGTATGATTTATCTGGAAAATATGTAATAAGTTTTATTAGTTAACAAACAATTATACTTAATGTCAAATCAAACATTAACAAGCTTCCTTCATCAAAATTTGTTCTACAGTTATTCAAATGAATAAAAAAGAATGAATCATTGTTCGTTGATATCTTCGTGGAAAATCTGAAACTTGTTAACATTTTTTACACAGAGTAATTTTCTTCAATTTATTATTTTCACAGAACAAATAATTCAAACTCATAATAGAAAAAAAAAGATTTATGGGAAATGAGTTACAATAAATAGCTTATCTCATGTTCGTCCTAAGAACTTTATACCTAAAAATTTATTAGTAATGAATATTTGGGAATTACCAAACTGTTGGTTGGAATACCATAAAAAACTGCACAAATATGTGTATGATTGTAATTTTAATGAAGACACTTGTTAAAATATTCTCTTTTGTTACAGTTTACACAGTATGCGTTCGGAATTCTTATGAACTAATTAGGTTACAAAGGCTATACATGACAAAACTGATAAAAATAGAATAATGTTAATAATAAGAAAAAAATCTATTTTTACAATATTTGACAATACTATTTCGGTAAAGCCGTTACAAACCACTAAATATTTTTATAAAGATACTTTTAGCTCCCGAAAATGAAGTTTGTTTATGCCAGAAAATCCGATTTCTGTCCACAGATTTTGAAAATTGGAAAAGAAGATTAGTTGTTGTTAAAAAGAGTTTCTTCATAATTCATCGCGAAAATATTTTTTTACGACTTTGATGAAAATTTAATGATGATATTATTCAGGTTAACGAACATCATAAAAAGTTATAGGCCTACTAAAAGTGGTCAATTAAAAAAAGTCATCTAAGTGAATGTGACACTGTGAATTTCAAATGTCTATCGCCACTATTGAAAAGTTGCTATAACTCAATCAATTCTTTCATAAATTATTTACAAGCATGTGGAAGTTCGTGCAACTTTCCTTAAGGCAGAATGTCACTCACATCTAGCTTTTATTTGATTTTGAGCATAGAAGCTGTATTTGTTGGCACAATTAGGGAACATGAAACAATATCCAAAAAACATATATTTTAAAACAGACAAGTTGAAATTGATAATATGAATAATCGTATACAATAATTTAAGTACTTACCGACCTTAACAAAGTTTATCTATATTTTGTTCTTCAAAATTGGAATTTTCTTGCCACTTACCAAAACTATTAAACTATTGAAATTTATTAAAGTTTTGAATTCGTGCAAAATGCATTTACCTTGAAGGCATTATCCCGTAATTTTGCTTCATAATTACATTTCACTCTCATCCGTTCTTTTACAATATAATTGTGTACAAAAATATATATTATGCATTTCAAGTTTTTCTTCTGACAGATCAAATTATTCAAGATGGTTTTTATTTTTACAACTTACGGAATACTTTTATATTCCTTTTATTTGCAATTTTTATTGCATTCAATTAAATTAATTGTACGCCGTCTTATTGCTAAAAGTGAAAACGAACTGGTCGTGTGAATGTAACTGTTACAGTATAATATGAATCATAATTGCATAAAATGAAGATGAAATTGTATTGTTTACTAATTAAATTTCTTTTCCCCAGGAGTCACTCCAAAGCGTCATACTTGTCACACCGAAGAGAAAACGATCTGAGTCTTCCTAATCCTGATCACGGCAGTTACAAATTGACTATATCACCATCTGGTGAATCATTAGAACGGAATACATTGGAAGATACGTTAATAGACAACAAAATGACTACTCTCATCCATCACCATAATAACAACAGTTGCCATAATTTGCTTCAGCGTGTTTCGGCAAGTTTAGGAAGTTTAAATGGTCTCAACAAGACTGCCGAAACCCTTATTAATAATTTACCGGATGTCTTGCCGATGAATGCAAAAGTTCCAAGAAATACACGTTCTTCGGCACCTAATACCTACATACACCCTGTTGATAATCAGGTAAAATCTGTTAACGGAGGTTCACTAAAATGTTCGCCTCCTAACACACCAAGAAATATCCAACAATCACGGTTTTCTTTAGAATCTTCATTAAGGCAATACAACAATATTAATAACAATATCCAATCAGCAAGAGTAACACCAATGCGAACTGAATATGTCCAACCTTTGATTTCTCCAAAACAGGAAGCTATGTTTACTGAACCTGTTAAACTAGATTTACCTTTACCATCACCTGAAAAAGTCATTTCCGAAGAACTTTTTTCTACCCCAGAAGATATCAGTTTAGAATCATCTGCGAATATAGTAGAGGAGAAAATTGCAACGACTCCTGTTAAATGTGAACCTTTACCCGTTCAATTTGCGGCTAATTATATTGAAGTCACGAAGCATCTCGTTCAGTCGCCAATACAAGAAGAATCCAAGAATAATGAAAGTTTTATGGTTCGAATGACTGATCGGGGTTGTAGTCCAGTTCACAGTGACTCTGAATCTCCAAAGTCTGTCAGAAGCAATAGAAGTCATTTATCCGATACCCCGAGTCCTATCCAGAAAGAAATTGCAGAGGTTCAACCCATGCAGAGGACTGAATTGGTTTTAAGGGTCAATAGTTATACAAGTGATGCTGCTTCACAAACTGAAAAAGAAGACTTGTTAACGACGCAGATGGTAAAAACGCCACTTTTGCCCAGACAAAAATCTCCGGAAGAGTTGGATTGCGAAGAACTGTCGAGAGATTTTGTGAGTCACCTTTCACCAAATGACCGGTTGCAGAGTATCTTAGGTAAATGTGTAATTTTTTAGCATAGATTGATGGTAATTGTAAATTAATTATGTTTATTCATTGAAGGTTCTTCTCCAGAACATAAAGAACCAGCGGATTATGTAACAGGTTTATTTCATTTGGAAATATCGCGACCTATCAAAACTAGACTTTCGTCTATTTCTGATAGCAACTCAAAATCTTGCACAGATCTAAGTTCACGTTCAAATAGTCCAGGCATTTTGAACGATGACTTGCTTCGCAAAAAGGTAATGCAGGATAAGGATATTCAATATTCAAGGATTAATATTGTTGCTGATTTTTTTGATATACCATATTGTAATTATTGGTAATGCAAGTTTTTAAACTATTTTATTTTCCAGGATGAGCTGGTAGCACGTTTGGACAGCAAATTGAGAGTTCTGAGGGCCGAACAGTTGGCTGTATCAGATGAACTCACTCTGAATGATAAATTAGGTGTAACTGTACTGGCCAGAGTAGAAAGGTTGGCCTTAGCATCGGAAGCGGCCAAATATAGGCAACATGTCCAAGAAATTTCACAAATCACGGGCCTATTATTAGGATTATCGAGTCGTTTGGCGAGGGCCGAAAATAGTTTGCTCTCCATGTCATGTTCTATAACGGATAAGGTAATTATTGAAAATATAAAATGAATTGATTAATTTTAGCCAAAGGCTTATAAATAGATTAATATTAAAATTTATCAATATATAGAGAAATCTGGAGTTGAAAAGAGACAAACTACAAGAGCAACTAGAAGAAGCAAAACGACTCAAAGAAAACATTGACAAACGCAGCAAAACAGTGTCACAAATGTTAACGAAATATTTAAGCAATGAAGAATATGCTGATTATGATCATTTTATAAATATGAAAGCAAAATTAATAATGGATTCACGTGAAATTGCTAATAAAATTCAATTAGGTGAAGAGCAGCTGCATGCTCTTAATGAGCATGTTTAAATATTTTGTTAATTTACATTCGTCTGTATCCAATAACTTATTTTATTTGATATATTATATCTTTTAAGCCTATTGACACTTGCCCCAGGAGTATTAAAAAAACATACGCTTATGATAGTTAAGTTCATTGGTGCACGATTTCTAGAAGAGCACCATTCAACATTTTTCTGTTTAAAAATATTGTTTATAGTTTTAGAGTAATTTTATTTCAAGGTGCCTTTGCCTAGTCTCTATTTTTTCTAAGCCTAATGATGTAGTTTATTTAATGTTTAATAAGTCACACATCGTTGATGAAAGGAAGTCGATTTTTAATAATTGTGATCACTTTCATACATTGAGATTGATCAGTTATGGGAAATTGATTATCTAAAACCTATGTGTCGTGCTTGGCTATGCTGTGATTGAAAATTGTTCATGTATATATTTGACTAAACGAAATTGGAATGTTTTGTGCAAACATTATAATGTGTGAATTTTAAAGTTTATTTTTTTATTGGTATTGATGACTGGTAACCCTGATATAAAGTTTGATCAAGGTGAATTCAGAACAAGTAAGCTTTTGGGCATTCTAGAACTGTAGAACATGCCATGTTATTTATTACATGATATTTGGTTTTGTAGAACTACAATATATTATCAAACCGGACCAAAAGTTTTCTGTGTTGTATTTTTTGTAATATATTTAACTTGTTTCCTGTGCATAATAAGATACAAAGGGCAAAGCTCATAATGTATTCTTTAATAATAATAATAAAACAAATGAAATTAAAATATTAAACCGGTTTTACCATTTTTTTATTCACTCGTTTTACTATAGATAATAAAACAATGAATGAAAGTCACTGAATTTGATATTTAAATCTTTAGCCCATATACTATGTTGTAAATATACATTTTATTTAATTAAGCCGAACACAAAACATTTTTCTAAATTTGTAATATGATTAAATACATTTTAAATCTCTTATTGTTTTTGATCAATAAACACTTAAGATGATTTTTGTCATATTGAAATATGAATATTTATACATTGTCATGTCAATGTTGATGAATTTTAAGATTATTATTACGTTCGTATCATTAATATACATAAATATAAATTTTTGCTTTGTAAACATATATTTTATTATTAAAAATTAAGATATTTGTGAAATGCTGTGCTAAAAATAAATTATATTTTATGTAATTAATTAGATGTTAAAAAGATGTTGAATGTAACCAGCGCTGTTTGTATATTTTGTTAGGATTTAAATAAGATATTATTCTCAAATATCTACTTTTAAGCAATGTTAAATATTATTACAATTATGTATACTTAAAATAAGTACACCAAATTAAATATGAAAAATAAATTTTGATTTGATCATTAAATTATATTCAAAAGAATTAAAATTTTAGGAACTGCATTTAATTGATGATTTTCAGGTATACAATACATCAAATATTGTAATTTTATTGTGTCTATGGATTGGGGTTGTAATCCCAAGGAAATTTAATAAAATAGTCCTTTTCAAACATAGCGTTGTGAATTGTTCTAACAAAAAAATTTAACTTTTTGAAGAAAATATTTAAACTTTTGCCAGAAAATCAGACTTGCTTATGTTGTTTTCTCCACGTTTCAAGTTATTCCAAATAATTTGAGATAGAATCTAAAAAAATATGTGTGTGTTTCTTTCACTTTGGAATAATGGATTTGGGTTTTTAGGACATTCAAGTGCATGTTTGTGTACTATAGTCAATACAATTATGTTCTGATATTATGAGTCTATTTCGGTAATTTCTATAGTGGTCCACTTACACCCCCATGGGTTAAGAATGATATAGTATTTTTGCATATAAAAGATAAAAAATGATTTAAAATTTGTAAAATGGCGAACACCTAATAAAAAATGATGTAGAATTAAACCTTACAAATTTGTTTCCAAATGTTCAAATTTGGTTCATTCAAATCGGTTGATCCGTGCGCCCGAAAACGTGGACGAAAAATTGTATCCATACATACATACACACACACACATCCATTTTTTCTGAGGTATGCCAAAATGTTCAGAAACCTTCGGAACGTCGAGAAATGTAAAAATTTTCAATTTCGATTTTTGGACGATTACAATAACTTACCCTACGGGAAGTTAAAAATCGTTTTATTTGTATTAACGAAATGAAGAACTGAGGAAATTTTTGGGAAGGCAGGTCTAGCGGTTTCGAAGATACAATAAACAAGTGGAAAAAAGCCATTTGGCGAATAAAAATGATCATTAGATATATGCATATCAAACTATCACATATTTAATTTATATATAAGTATATTTTAATAATAAAAACAAATTTTGTTTACATTTTTATGTGTTCCGTACCATCGTTTATCCATTATACTGCGACGCGGCGGATTTATATTTCGTTTCTACGCAGCTAATGTATCGCGATTGCTTTTACAAAAAGTTCAAAATTTCCAAAATATTTCAAAGTATAAAAAAATCAAATTTTTCAAAAATGTCAAATCTGAAAAATTTTTAAAATCTCAAAAATCGATTTTTTTTTCAGAGATCTTAAAAAAAATTGAATCTGTTTCAAAAATTTTATTTTTTACTACGGGAAGTTCCAGCAATATGCCTTAAGACTTGCCATACACATAGATAAATAAGCATCAATAGTGGCCATACACCACTAGTTTATACTCTTCTTTTATCTATGATTTATATTATACAAATTCTTCAAATTAGTACCAGTTTTTTAAACCGTTATAGGGGCGCTTCAAACGCTTTCAATTGAGCCAGTCCCATCTTTGCTTTGAGCAAATGTTGTTATCTATGCCCATGTGTTCTGTTAAACGTAAAAGTCATAAAATAAAAAGAATTGTATTATTACATACTTTAGTGCTGTAATTAAGTAATTAAAAATGGTGAAGATTAAAAAAGCTGCTAAAAAAATAGCGAAACCAGTAGAAGTTGTTGAAGATGTAGCATTACCACCTAAGAAGAGATCTTCAGATGACCCATTACCTGAAAAAGTAACCTGAAATCGTTATGTTATACTAATTTTTTCAATAGTTTTTGCACTTAAGGTTATTATTTTTTAGACAAAATGGATAAACAAACAGCGGGTACTTGTATTTGCAAGTCGTGGAATCAATTACAGACACAGACACCTTATGGAAGATTTAAAAAAATTGATGCCCCATCATAAGGCAGAATCAAAAATGGAAAGGTCGAAGAATCTTTTCGTTGTCAATGAAATTTGTGAAGTCAAGAACTGTAATAAAGCTTTATTATTCGAAGGAAGGCGAAAAGCAGATTTGTATATGTGGGTTTCTAATATTCAGCAAGGTCCAAGCGCTAAATTTTTAATAGAAAACGGTGAGTTAGTTTTTGATTAGTATTCATTGACTTTCATTACATTTCAAACTAATTCAGATTTTTGCAATATCAAATTCTTGTAGTTTATACAATGGATGAAATGAAACTAACAGGAAATTGTTTGAGGGGTTCTCGACCTATATTATCCTTTAGTCCAACTTTTACTAAAGAGCCTCATTATCTTGTAATGAAGGAATTATTAACACAAGTATTTGGAGTTCCTAACCATCATCCGAAAAGCCAACCTTTCTTTGACCGTGTTTACACATTCCACATAATGGACCATAGAATTTGGTTTAGACATTATCAAATCTTATCAGAAGACGGAGCTCTGGTAGAAATAGGGCCAAGATTTGTTTTGAATCCTGTAAGTATAGTATTAACTGACTAATCATAGAGAGGCATTCAGTATTTCTGTGTTTGTTATTATCTATTCTTTTAATGTTAAGGTGAAAATATTTGATGGATCTTTTGGTGGACAGACACTCTGGGAAAATCCACATTATTTATCTCCGGCTAAGTACCGTCAAACACTGAAGAAGAAAGCAAGTAACAAATATCTGGACAGGGTTGAACAGAAAGCTGCTTATGAAGCAAGCAGACCGGCTACAAGTTATAAATTGAATGAGTTAGATGATATTTTTGCTGGTGATATCAAAGAAAAGGCAAAGAAAATTAAAGGTACTAAAAATAATATAATTTACTAACTTTGTCAAGTAATACTTAATAGACCAAATTAACATTTGGAAACCTTTTTGGAATGGATATTTTTGTGTAATTCAAAATATATTATTCAGAAAGTAACAATGAAGAGGTTTATGATGCAAATGAGGATATGGATATGAAAGAGTCTTCTGCTACAGATCTTAAGAAGAAAATGGTTCTACAAGGAAATCGATCTCCAAAGGTTGAAAAAGCCAAGCAAGATGTATCAACGAAAGGTATTTAGTGAAATAGTTAAAATTAAATACTCTGCTAAAAATATTTCACAGTACATTATTTGTATATTTTTTATTTTGTAGAAAATGAAAAAAAAGGATTATTTGTGAAGATTGGGAAGACATCACCTAGCAAAGCTAAATCCGCTAGGAAAGTAAAATTATCTAAAAGTATATCAAAGGTGAAAGCTAAAAAAATAAAAGTTGCATTTGCACCAAAAAAATTAAATATCAAGAAACAAAAATAAAATATTTGATAGTAAATTTATTTTAACATTGTGTTATTGACAAACTATTAAAGTATGTATACATAAATTTGAATATTTTACTTTGATATTAGAAATACACATTGTTTACATTTTCTTATATTTTTGCCTATTTTTCATTTTGTTTCAATTATTTGTTTATATATATACATACATACATATATATATATATATATATATATATATACAGTAGAATCCGCTTAGTATGACATCGAAGGGACGCCGAAATCTCGTCATACTAACCGGTCGTCATTAAAAGCGTACTGAAAAAAAACTTTTTAATATGCAAATATGTTACATTTTTCAGTAATTTAAAAGAAAAGCCTATACAAACGTTTTAATCAAAAATAAAAATGACACATTAAAAGTTAATATAAAATAAAATTGACATAGGGTAAGGCGGGGGCACAGCGGTCCAATTTGACTTACGGTAATTATATTGTCTAAACCCAATGAACAACACATAACATACATCAAAGAAGCATCTATCGAACTATGTTCAGTAAAACTTACATACATACGTACATAATTCCTAATTATATGAATATTATATTTTTTACTATTTTTTAAACATTTGGTATCTGACCCATTTTACTTCACATACGGGGTAATCAGTAATTTTTTATTGATTTCTTTACATAATTTTATTGTAAAAACAGTCTCAGATGCTATTGTGCACAAAAGACATAGCAATTGCTTTCGTAGACTTGGCCACATCATGTAAAATCATGTCGGTCATTATAATTGGACATAATTTTTTGCAAAAATGGGTCATTATAAGCGAGTCAATATATCCGACTAGACAGCTGTTTTTTTAAGGAATTTTATATGGAAACCAAATTCCTAGTGTGATTACGTCATATTAAGCGGTTGTCAATATATCCAACGTCATACTAATCGGATTCTACTGTATATATATTAACAAAGTCTAATAATCGGGCATAACATCAATAAAAAACATGAATTTCCTTCAAAAATTTATTTTAAATCCATACGTTTCGTCTATAATCCTAGCCTTCATTCAGTGGAAAAATTAGTTGATCTTAGTGTTAAATTGGAAAATTTTAATAATCCATGGTATTAGGATATGGTAATGCACTACACTATGTATTATAAACATTAACTTGAAAATACACTATTTTCACAAAATACTGATTTGAAAAAATCACAAATGGATAGTGTGTTATTCGTAGACTGGTTGAAGATGTAATAGATCATTACATCTCCAACCAGTCTACGAATAACACACTATCCGTACACATGTACACATGTACAAATTTTAATTTTGGTTTAAATATATAATTTTTTACACTAATTTTTCTAATTATGACTATAAATTAGTAAAATGTAATTATGATTTATTACGTCATTAGGTTATATAATATTAACAAATAACTAGTGGGGCGCATGGCATCGTGCCTTAAAGCAAATTGCTGGAACTTCCCGTATCAAAAATTATTTTTTAAAAAAAGATTAACACTTTTGAAAAAAAATAACTCTGAAAAAATTAGATTTTTGAAAAACTATAAATTTTTGACAAAAATTTACTTTTTTTTGAAAAAAAAAACTTTTTGAAAAAAAATTTATTTTGAAATATTTTGGAAATTCTGAACTTTTTTTCAAAGCAATCGTACTGCTTTAACTGCATAGAAACGAAATATGAAAGCGCGTAAGCGCCGCGTTGCCGTCTAACGGATAAACATTGGTACGGAACCCGTAGAAATGTAAATAAAATTTATACTTATTGTTAAAATCTCTATAAAATATCTTATAATTTGCATATGTCTTATGATCATTTTTGACCGCCAAATGGCATTTATTTTTACTTTTTTTACTAGATCTCCGAAACCGCTAGACCTGCCTTCATGAAAATTTGATCAGTTCTTCATCTTGTTAATACAAGTAAAATGTTTTTTGAATTATTCAAATCGGACGATCCGTTCTCTTAAAAACGTTTACCGAGTTACCGTTTTTGGCACTTTTTGCCCCATATCTTCGGAACGGCTAGACCTGCTTTTGCCAAAAACTAACCAGCACGTCTCCTTATCAATACGAATCGTATGTTTTTTGAATTATTCAAATCGCTTCATCCGTGTTCCCGAAATCGTCGACGAAAATTTGTATCCGCACACATACACGCACATATACACACACACATACATCCATTTTTCTAAGGTATGCCAAAATATTCAGAAACCTTTCAAACGTAAACGATATATAAAAATTTTCATTTTCGATTTTTTTGCGATTACAATAACTTGCCCTACGGGAAGTTAATAATTGCACAGTTATTAATAATTTATTTCAAGTTTGTAGTATCAGTTTATTTAAATGAATCTATAAAAAAAATTATTTTATATTTTTTTAAAAATATTCTCTGTTTTTTTCAACCTAGGTAACATGACTACTTTAACTCCAAGGTTAGATTTTAGGCAATCTTCAACCATCTCGAGGCTACCTAACTTTTATTTTCGTGGTTTCCTAGTGATAAGCAACCCATTTTTATTGGCATTAAGAACCCTTCAAATTTTGGGTTGTACAGCCCCTAGGGTTACCTAACGTTATGCAACCTTGATAACCATTCCTTCTCCATTGGGGTTAGGAATTCTTCAAATTCCTTTTCAGGCTATTGGCACAACAATTTTATGTGTATTGACCTTTTTGTGTTATATATTTATTTATATATAGTTGTCAATTATTTAGTAATTGATCTTTTTTGATCAACACTATCTTTAATTATTTATCAATTTTTCACAGCCAGTTACCGAGTAAAAAAGTAGAATCATTCCAAGTAAATGAAACTGCAAGGAGTTTAAATGTTTATTTAACATTTATTGAAAAAATAAATTAAAATACTCAATAAACTTCCTTGGGGATTCGAACTCGAAACCAGAACGATTGGTGTTACAACAATTTTTTTGTAACTATCAATTATATAACGTCAAATTGTATAACTTGCAGTTTTAGACATGTCGAGATGGCGCCAAATGGAATATGGCGCACGCTTCGAATTACTGCAAGTTCGACTATGAAACATCGACCCAACAGCCGTTTCGTCGCACTCGAGTTGCAAAACTCGGGTGTGTAAGAGTCCCAGTGACCGGCTTTAATGTCAAGTGAGAATCAATCACTTCTGTCAGGCCTCTCGTTAGCACCATGCCTCGAGGTCCGCTGCAGCAGAACCTGATTCGGTCGCTTCATCTTGATTTTTGTTGGATCGCGGACTCGAGAGATAACGGTATGCCCCGTTGTCTGCGGCTATTGGGGGGGCACTGACAGCATGGGGCTGTCAGTTTTGTGTGTTGTGTGTTGCATGTTGCATAGTACGTGTGAGCGAGTGAGAAGCGTTCGCGTTCGTCGATTTTGGAAAACTGGGTCCAGAATCGACTAGCGATCGCAGCGTGAAATGGGCGACGATCGCGGCATATACCGGACTTTGGAAAAGCGGATTTCAAAGTCTTTGTCGATCTCAGAGTGAATCCTCCCTCTCGTGGCTGACACCTTATCGCGGTGAGGGGGTCCAGTTGGGCGATAAACGTCCAATTGCCAAGAGTAGCCGTCTACTATAGCACTTTTGTATACTAGTTATACTTCAAGGTATAAAAATTAATTAGTTGTGTGTGTCACATGAAAATACATGTTATTAAATTCAATTGAATCATTAAATATATTTACCAAAATTTTTTGGGCCAACATTTTTTTGACCAAAATTTTTTTGACCAAAAATTTTTTTCTCAAAATTTTTTTGACCAAATTTTTTCCAAAATTTTTTTGACCAAAATTTTTTTTGACCGAAATTTTTTTTTCCCAAAATTTTTTTTCCCAAAATTTTTTTTCCAAAATTTTTTTGACCAAAATTTTTTGAACCAAAAATTTTTTCCCAAATTTTTTTGACCAAAATTTTTTTGACAACTTTTTTTTCCGAATATTGGTCAATATCGGTCCAATATTGATAAATATCGGTCTAATATTGGTCAATATCGGTCCAATATTGGTCAATTTTTTTGGTCAAATTTCTTTGGTCAAATTTTTTTGGACAAAATTTTTTTGACCGAATTTTTTTGACCAAAATTTTTTTGACCACAATTTTTTTTTTCAAAATTTTTTTGACCAAAATTTTTTGGACCAGATTTTTTTTGGACCAAAATTTATTTGACCAAATTTTTTTTGACCAAGATTTTTTGGGTCAAAATTTTTTTCGGTCAAAATTTTTTTGACCAAAATTTTTTTGGGTCAAAATTTTTTTGGGTCAAAATTTTTTTGACCAAAATTTTTTAGGCCAAAATTTTTTTGACCAATATTGGTCAATATCGGTCCAATATTGGTCAATATCAGTCCAATATTTGTCAATATCGGTCCAATATTGGTCAATATTGGTCAATATCGGTCTAATATTGGTCAATATCGGTCTAATATTGGTCAATATCGACCCAATATTTTGGGTCAAAATTTTTTTGGACAAAAAATTTTTTGACCGATTTTTTTTGACCAAAATTTTTTTTTCAAAATTTTTTTGACCAAAATTTTTTGGACCAGATTTTTTTTTGACCAAAATTTTTTTTCCCAAAATTTTTTTTGACCAAAATTTTTTTGACCAAATTTTTTTTTTTTCAAAATTTTTTTGACCAAAATTTTTTGAACCAAAAATTTTTTCCCAAATTTTTTTGACCAAAATTTTTTTGACTATTTTTTTTTCCGATTATTGGTCAATATCGGTCCAATATTGGTCAATATCGGTCCAATATTGGTCAATATCGGTCTAATATTGGTCAATATCGACCCAATATTTTGGGTCAAAATTTTTTTGACCAAAATTTTTTTGGGTCAAAATTTTTTTGACCAAAATTTTTTTGGGTCAAAATTTTTTTGACCAAAATTTTTTAAGCCAAAATTTTTTTTACCAAAATTTTTTTGACCAAAATTTTTTGACCAAAATTTTTTTGGACCAAAATTTTTTTGACCAAAAATTTTTTTAACCAAAATTTTTTGGATCAAAA